AAAAAAAAAAAAAAAAAAAAAAAAAAAAAAAAAAAAAAAAAAAAAAAAAAAAAAAAAAAAAAAAAAAAAAAAGAAAAGAAGAAAAAAGTCACAAAAATAATGATAATAATAATATTATTTATGCCTGTGTCAGGCTATATAAATTATATAGGTTGTATAGAAAAAATCTTACTCTAATAATAAGAAAAATGAAAAAGAAAAAAATTATTTAATATCTAGAAGTTTTTATATATAATTCTTCAATCTTTTATAGTTTGTCATTGCTTAATTAAGAAGCAGTACCTGAGTCAGCTTATAAAAAGTTCTATTTTAGTAAATATATTCTAATTTGAAAGGAGTAAATACTGCCAATCTTTTGGAAGAAGTATGTTGGCTTTTTTACTTTTTGGCTAAAATTTCTAAAAAAACTTCAAAATAGTAGAAATATGTAAAGGTCTTGCAGTTGTAAGTATTTTTAAAATTTTTAAGAGTATGTTGAAAATTTAAAACTTTTGTTGTTTTTTCTGTATTCTTTTTTAAAGTAATAGCCTATGAGATTTGTTGACAAAAAGAATTAGTAACTTATAGTATTTGTTCTTTTACTAGGATTTTATATACCTATTAGTTATCTTATATACCAATGCTTCTAACTTGTATGCTGAATATTTCTTAAAGAAGTCTTTTAGAAAAGCAGCTAACTTCTAGACAAATCACTATAATAGGCTATGACTCTTCAACAAGAGTTTTGTTTTTCTGTTAAAAGAAAATTTTGGTTCAAGTAATTGTTAAGAAGAGTTTCCCAGATTTAAAATAACTAAATTAATTAATTAATACAAGTTGTTTTATATAAAAATATATAGTTATTGCATACGGAGCATGCAATAACGGTTTTATTTTATGCTTTACTATCTCAGATTTATGAAATAGTTCAATTATTTTATCATTTAAAAATACCATAAAATAATTGATTTATTTTATAAACTGATCATAGTGAAGTATTAAATAATATATTGTATTTTTTAAAACTTTTTAAATTTAACTCTAATTCTATCAATACTAATATAAAAATTTTGGATAAATTTAAAAACACCAAAAATATAATAAAGATACAAAGCTATTATTGTAAATATATTTTATAATAAATATTAAAAAAAATTTATCATGTATTTTATTTTTTTAAAAAATATATATATTTAAAAGTTTAATTTTAATTTTTTGACAAAAACTTAAATTTCTTAAAGCGCAATAACTGTATAGTATTAATTATCTATATAATAAATGAGTGACGCCAAGAAAAAAGAGAACATTTGTTTTTATCTGATGATCGACAACACATCGGGCTTTCAATTATGATAAACTTACCTCTGAAATCCTTGAAATTTTTATCTTAGTGAAAGAACGTTTCCTTTTCCCTTGGTGTCACTCAAATAATAAACTATTTTTATTTTTATGTAAAATCTATTTTAAATTAAAAATTTTTACCAATTTTGATAATTTTTAAAAATACAATATTATATAGAAAAAAAATTTAATTGATTTTAATAATGCGATAGCAAAACTAAAAAACCTAAAAAATAAAGCTATAAAAAAATACATAATAATATATACGCATATATGATCACCGCTTTGGCTAATTATATAAAAGCATATACGCTAGTTATTTTTAAAATTTATACGTACGTATATTGAAAAAAAATAAATTTATATAAACTACGACATAAAAACTTAGATATTTAGCAGTTTTTCTTAACAGTTTTTATTTCACTTACAAAGATAATATTTAAAATTGCTACATGTATAATTACTAAATTATAGTTCAAAAAATTTTTTTGCATCTATAGTTAGCATTATATTATAAATTAAAAAAACTTGTAATTAATTAATTACATACAGTATTTAAATATATAATTCTACCTATGGATACAAATATAATACAGACTTTTTTTTATAAAGAATCATTTACAAATTTAAGTACAATTTTTGAAAAGAAAATCCTTTTGTACAAATTAATATTTACAAAATAGGATGTAGAAAAAAAAAAAAAAGTATTAAAGATCAAAGTGATACAAATTGTACAACTTGTACAAAATAAGAAATAAATAAACACGACGAAAATCAAATGTGGGATAAGTGTGTGAATTTTTTAAAAGACCTGAATGAAATGCATATATATATAAAAAGATCATCGATTGACCATGTAATGTTAAATATCAATTTAGCAAATCTAAGATTCACAAGTTAAAGTCAATTTAACTTGGGGGTTTTTTTTACCAACTTGTTAAGGAAGAATTTGAATCAAATTGATCATCTGATATATCAACATCAGCATTAGTGTTAGTTATGATGTCTTTATCTTTCCCATATGGACATTCTTCGCCATCATCTCCATAAATATGCTGCCGTATGTCGTACATTGTGATACAATCGAATATAAAGGTATGCATAAGGACACCTATCAACTGTTAGAAATACACATATATTAAAAAAATTGATTTATTTATAAATGAATAAATGAAACAATAAATTACCTGAACCAATCTTGAAAAAAATATAATTTTGGCAATATAAAACAATTGGGGACCAAATCGATTCATTAAAACGGTATTATAACAATCATTAAAAAATTCACCAGGTCGATTAATTATATCGCATGAAAACTAATAAAATAAATTAATATTAGAAATATTAAATATATTAAATATATTAAAAATTATTAAAAATAGATAATGTGAAACATAAACAAATACGTAATGTGGTATTACCTCATATTCGAATTCTTTTATCAGATCAGGATCCAAATTATAAGCTTTTTGTAAAGAACCACTTAGAATTTTAAAAATCCAACTATTACTGAACAGTACGTTATATGCAGCGGTAACAGTTTGAATCACAGTGAATGCAATAAGGAACATAGAGAACTATGGAAAAAAGTGTAGAGGTTAAGGATTTATGCAATAATCAATAATCAATAAGCGCGGTAGATCAAATGTAAGTTATATTAAATGGAAACAAATCAAAAGTATCGAAGATATAAGATTATTAAAAAGGATACAAATTGACCAACAATGTTATTTTTTCGCATAAAATTGAATACACCAAACAAAGTAATCATCCATGCGCACATAACGCATACAAATTCACCATTAAGTGTAAGATGGGGAGTTAAAACAATTCCTGGTAAAGCTTGACTATCTTCTGGTGATATTACTGCGGTAAAAGCTAAGGATCGATTACGATTTTGCGCTAGAGATAAAATGCTTGTAGGGATCTGATTAGACGTCAAAAAATAAAACGAATTTTATAAAAATAAAATAAATTTTATTTATCTATTTTTTTTTTAAAAAAAAAAATATAAGAAAACGTTAAAGGAAACATACGGCTGTCAAAAAGATAGCCATGGTTACCAATAACCATTTAAAAAGTTCAAGTCTTTGTGAACCGTCCAAACCAAAGAATACAATAAAATTTATTTGTTTTCCAAAAATTGACATTTTTTTTTTTAAATAGAAATTACTAAAAGTTTTTTTATTTTATTTTATTTTAAATCAAAAAATTTTTTATTTTATTTTTTATAAAACAGGCTTTTTTTCAAGAAAAAAAAAATTACAAGAATTTCTCGATTCAGAAAGCGAATTTCATTGAGACTTATATACGAAAAGGTTTTGAGGAAAATGGGGGATGAAAAAAAAGGGAATAAAACTATTATTCGATTATAGGATATTGACAGTACTGTATATTGCATTTAGCATGCACATAAATAAATACACAATAGGATTAGGATTAGGATGTACGGTAAATCGTAAGGAGGCGCATAAAAAGGTACAATATTTAATATCCGCTGTTGTGAATTTGTAGTATACGTACGTACGTACTTACGTATGTGCGTAAAAAAATAAGCGTTAAGCGCGAAAGTTGAGCGGATAGAAAAGAAAATTATATAAAAATATAGATAGATATAAAAAGACAATAATTATAATAATTATAATAATTATAATAATTATGAGGGGAAAACAATAATAAAGGGACCCTGTTGACTTTCATGCATCATTACTGTCATCCTGTCTGATAATGTTTGTGATCCCATGCAAGATTACCAAATCACTAGGAAAAAAAAAAAAAAAAAAAAAAAAAAAAAAAAGTGGGAAGCAAATGGAAGAAATTGGAAGGAATATGTCTTGCGAATGTCTTGCGTAACTATCATTTTAAGAAAACAGTCCGATTCAATATCCACTTTGCGGTTATATGTACCATTTTCATGGATTTGATTGTCAGGCGATCTTTTGAACTGATCGATTTCATTATTTATATTTATTATTTATATATTGTATATCAACATTTTGATATTGTACAGATTGTAACACATCAATAATAAGCAATCTCATTTTCTGCATGATCACCAAAAAGGTCGAGACAGTACTCATCGATCATTTACGTTTAGTCATAAGATGGTTTTTTCAATTTATTAACCAAATAACTTTTTAATTTATTGTATCAATGATTGATTGCCCTGCTTTTACGTAGGTTGCACATATTTCTATTAATAAAAAGTTTCTTAATAAAAACATCATAATAATCAGAATAAATTACTAATAAAATAAAACAAATGAAAAAATGTATATGTCATATAACATATAAATACTGTATAATGCTGTAATAGGTATACAAGTTCTCTTTAATTAATATTAAAAGAATAGAATGAATAAAAAACTAATCCATGGTATACCTAACTAAAATGAGGTTTATTAATCAGGTCATGTACATAAAAATTTTGGTCAAATTTTTTGAGCGACACAAAATTTTTATCAATTCCAGAAATGTTTAGTGAATGCAATGCTTGTTAGACATTACAGCATTACTAAGCAGGAGTCATCGTTAATAGTGCCGATTATGGTAAGCTTAGCCAATGAAATACTTTCATAATTCGAAAAAGGAAGAAAAAAGTTTAGAGACCAGTGAAGGTGAAATGATGAAAGCAAACAGATTTTGATTTGAAAATGAAAAAAAAAAAAATTCAAACTCTCAATGCATGTGTAATAAAGGCTTGGGAAAAAACGCCAACAAAAGTTTACACAAAAGTTTACACAAAAGTTTACATAAAATTCTGTTCCTTCCCCACAATAACACATGCAAGTTGTCTCAATTGGTCCCACTTCCTTAATTCGGTTACCTTTCTTAAAAGTTATATCGGTAGCACGAACCAGAGTTATTTTTACACGTCTTAAAAAAATATTGATTTACTTATTAGTGCCAGTAATACAAACTACAATCACACGATCGTGCTTTGTAAAAAAAAAAAAAATTACCTCCCCAAACATACTAGATACATTTTTTTATATATGTGTTTAATGTAAGATTAATAACTAATATCTTTCATTACTTTAATTCTTGAATGTTCTGTAGAATAACCAACGGCTGCTTCGGCTTCAGATTGTGTATAAGGAACTTCTTTAAGTAATTTAATTCTGTTTAAATTTTATTATATATATTTATATATATATTGTATATATATATTGTAAAATATGTCAAAGATATAAGTTAAAAATTTTTTTTTCATGTGAAATCGATCAATTTTTAATTACCGTTTTTTATGTAATTTACCGCGATTATGTTCATCAAGGGCCTTTTGATTTATGAAATAACGTCTAACCATTTGAAGATTATAAATAAAACATCGTTTACCTAGTGTTTTCTAAAGTTGATCATAACTCTAATAATTTTCATTCACTTTGAAATTCCATACTCACGCGCAAGCCACGCAAGGATATTTTCCAAATCCTGGCAAATCTGGATCCGATTCTTGGTTTTGTACCATTTGCTCATCTAACTCTTTCAAGTCTTTCAAATCTTTATGAATTTGATCTAAATCTTTGGTATAATTCCTTGTTCGCTGTTTTCTATATTGATCCCTAATACCTATAAATAAATGTTGTTTTAAATATTTTATATACAGTATACAAATTATATAAATTACTTTTTTTTATATGTCGATAATTATATGATGCTTTATAATCATTATAATAGTTTTTAATAAAAGTGTAATTCTAAACCTAACAATTTTGAAAAGAAAAAAAAGTTTTTTATTTCGAAAGGTAAACTCATGTAAACTATTAAATACTAAATACTATAAGCTCATTCAATAACTTAAACAAGAATACCTTTATGAGTTCTTGATCTTCTTAGTCTTCCCATTTTAAAAAATGAGATAAAGAGTGTGATTTTAATTTAACGTTAAGGTAAATTCTCTGATAACGATAACGATAAGATTTTATCTTACTAAAGATCAGCAAATCATCATGCATTATATTGAATATCAAATATTATCATATGTAAAGTGTCATTTGACCGCAAACGTGACGCCAAATTTTTTGGGGACACAGATCACCTTGGCGTGAATATTATAGTCTTATATTACAAACTTGCACATTTCGGCCGCACGAGCCCACAACATTACGGCAAACTCCACGTTTTTTTTGTTTTTTTTACGTACGTACGTATGTATAACAATAATAGATCCTCAATTATTGATACTCATTTGTTTTATGTCTTTATGGCAACTTTGTGATGTAATTCTGTATATTATAATAGAAATCAACGTTTTTAAATATATATTTCCTTAGGATGCACGTAATTTATGAATGATGATATCTATATACATGAATTATGAATAAAAAAAAAAAATTTATGGTTATTTTAAACTATGATCGACAACAAAAATGTGAGCATTTTTGTTCCATCAATTTTTTTTTTTATAGAAAAAAAAAATAAAAAAAAATAAAAATAAAAATAATAATAATAATAATAATCATATTTATAAAAAAGGATCCCATCATTATATTTACAAAAAAAAAAAAAAAAAAAAGAAAATAGTACTAATTTAGCACGTGAATCTTTAAAGTTTTTTAAATTCCTCTCCTGCGTCCATTTGTTGTTGATATTCTTGTAATCGAAAATTTTCTCTTTCATTCATCATTTCTCCAAATATAGAAACCGGAAGACTGAAATCTTTTTTCACAAAGGGTTTGACAGGAACTTTATATCCAAATGCAAGTGCTGAACGTGTACTCTTCCGGGATCCCGTTGGCATTGCTGTATTTGGTTTTATAAATGTGGCAAGTTGTTGTTGAATATATGAAGACGTAGAAGGACGTGCTTTTTTTATTGTTGATGATGATGATGATGACGACGATGACGATGATGAGGTTATCTTTTGAACTTTCTTTCCTTTTTGTTCTTTCTGTTCTTTTTGTTTTACTTTGGTACTAATTTTTTTGTGGTTTACAATTTCTGTTGATTTAGTGTTAAAGATTTTAATTTCATCAACTTGTTTTTCATCCTTCTTTTTACGACTTCGAGTAATTCGTGTTGTCTCATCTTTTGATGATTGTGTTAAAACTTCTTCTGGATTTGCACTACTGGTACGTCTTTGTACACGAAGTCGTGCTTTCTTGTTGTCAGGTTCTTCAGGAACTTTATTTTCTCCTCCTATATTACTGTTATTGTTGATTATTGCATCTACTTTCCTCTTTTTCCCTCCTAATCCTAAAGAATCATATCGTGCCAATTGATCCTCTGCTTCTTTAAGTAATTTTTTATGTACCGTCTCTAATTTACTTACATCACTCGTAGAATCTTTATTACGTAAAGCTGCTATTGATATCAAACTTTTAGAATCTGTGTTACGTAATTTCTCTACTGCCAATTGTTGTTGATATCGTTCATATTCTAATTTTTCTCTTTCTCTATTCTTTAACTTTTTTTCTGCAAGTTCATGCTTTCGATGTCGTTTTTCATATACTGCATCAGATGTATCTTCCTAATAAATGAAAAAAAATTTAATAATAATAAATGAATAAATAAATAAGTAAAATATTATATATGTACGGTCAACTATCTATATAATTTTTTATATAGCTTTTTACTAATATTTATATAACGGATTTATAATAAATTTTCAAATTTTTTAAGTCCGTTATATAGGTGATTTTTATTATAGATGTCCGTTATATAGAATAATTGACTGTATATATTTTAGATAAAAGTATTTTTTTTTTTTTTTATAGACTCTTGATAATTTTTTTTTTAAATTAAATAAAATCCCGAATTCTTACCAACCTCTTGTGCTTTACTGCGTAAACCGCTACCAACGTCCTCATCCCAAAGTTTAAAGGAGGGAACTAATATATCTTTTTTATCATTATCAATCGTGATTGACACTGTCGTTTCTTCATCATAATTAATATCATTATCTTCAACTATTTCACATGTTTTTAAGATATCTTCATCCGTGGTCAACATAAGAATCGTATCTCCAGTGATGAAAGGTTCATGTGATTGTTCTATTTATTTTTTTTTTTACAATATAAAATGTAAAAACATTGAATATTTGTGTTTACTAAGCCAAAAAACTGTTGGCATACCTTGGTCGGCCGCAACTTCTTCGGCTAACACACTTGCCAAGGTACCAACCTTACGCGGCGGAAGAATGCGTTTTTTTTGAGTATACATATATTTAGTACGTTACGATGGTTTGGTCTGTACAGCGATTACTGCAGTACTGATAATAAATGCCAATCGAGGATGCAGTCACATGAGCCTCGACCTCCTGATCTTAATTCTGTATTTTATTTATTCTGACGCAACCTAACTTATGCAAGATAAATTCCATTTACTATCATATTTTGACAAAAATAAAAGTTAGTCTCTATGTTGACATTCAAATTGAAAAAAATATTTATTGCTGCCTATACGTATCGAAAGAAACTATAAACAGTCAACTTTCTCCATAACAAACGCTGGTTCTGGACGTTTTTTATATAAAAATTATTTTTCTTAAGAACTATAACTCTTTATACCGAATTACTGTAAATAAAATTTAAAATTCTTATTACATTATTTTCAGAGTTCATCATAGAGATGTTCGTTATAAAGAAAGTTGGATCTATATATAGTTTAATAATTCGTAATTAAATAGAATCTTCACTGTTTTCTCGTTATTTAATCTTGAATATATTTTAGAATTATATAATCTTTTTATTGCTTCATTTGTGTTAATTTGGTTATGAATATGGTTCATTTATAAATCCATCTTACACCTAAGCTTTCTATAACAAACTTTTTTATAATAAACCCTAACACATAATGAACTGTAAAATTTTAAATTATATATGTTGAGTTTGGAATGTATATTCAATGTTTCGATTTCATTTATATAAGTTAACTCAAGTTTTACAATTCATTTGATCTGTTCGTGATTATTATTAAGTAGTCAAATTTATTTTTAAAATATTATTTAAAGATGTTAATAGTTGATCCAGTCTAATTCAATCCTATAAATCAAATTAAAACTGATAGAATTAGACTAGAAACTGAATAATCAAATTGGATTAAAAAATAGACTTGGCTTGACTTTTTATGCACCCCTTGCATGGTTATGCAAGTAGTGCATAAAATATGCAAGGATATATAAAAAAAATTAAACCAAATAAACAAGTTCAATTTTATACAATAATAATCTAATTTTCAATTTTATAATTATTTAGTCTTATATATAGCAATTCAATTGGGTTGTTGTCTAGCAAAACTATGCTTAGAGTGTATATATTTTATATGTTCTAAGCATGCAGTTATAGTTTATAATAATTCAATTTTATAATAGTTTAGTTTTTATAGTTTTTGATCTTTAATCATACCATATATAATCTCTTTATCTTGACAAAGTTGTGAAGAACTTGCAACTGAGATTTGATTGTCTTCTATTTCAAGCATTTTATAGCATTGTTTTCCTGTACATTTTGTTTGTTTCTTAGTGTTTGTAACTGAATCCCCGAAAAAACCATTTTGTCTAGAGTATCCAGAATTATGCAACGATGCTAAATTATGCTTGCTAATTGCATTAAATTATGCTTTTTATGTTAATAACTTCTTAAAAACTTTTTTTTAATTTGGGGTCTGATTTGAAAATATAAACCCTGCTAAAATCTACGCATATTCTTTAATTATCAATTCTAACCCAAACCCTAACCTAACTCAAAAAAAAACACCCTTAAAATTTTTTAAAGTTCATATTAAATAGATTCAATTTTAGCATCAGCCGTGACAATTAATAAATTTTGCAGTTATTTAAACGTTATTGTTTGTATTTAAGATTAATTATACTAAAAATCCCAACTCTAACCTTAAAAAATTCCCATCTACGACATATATACTCAAATTATGCTAAATTTTATGCTAGCAAATATAAATTATGCTAAATTCTGTTGTTATATAGCAAGCTTGAATTATGCTAAATTATGCTATATAGTAGCATAATCCTGGACATCCTAATTTTGCCCTTCAATTACTCCCGGACTGTAAGCTACTAAAGAATCAGACTTTCAAATATGTGACCTTTCAAATCATCTCTTATCACATTATTACGATTGTTTAATTTGCACAAATACGGCAAGTGACAAATAGTAAAAAATGTACATTAACGTTAACCTTTAAGTATCTACTGCTTATTAACGTTAATAAAAAAAAAACTTATTTATCACGAAATCATTAGCTATATGTTGTAAAAGGGCGCAACCTAAGACACAATAAAATCAAAGGCTACTCGAAAGAAGGCGTGGAAGATTTGGTCCGAGAACCAAGGATCCCCGGAGTTTATAATTAGATAGTCTTTATTATTATAACACTTCATTTGTTTTCAGATACCGGTACATGAAATCGATAGTTATTTATACATTACAGAGAGCTTTCTACTACGATTAGAATATCAGCAGAAATTTGCAATTGAAATATGAATTTTATAAATTTAATTTATACATTAGGACTTTTTACAGACCTAAAGACCCTAGGTTCCTTAAATTTGGACTTGTTCTTTAAAGACCAGGTAGACCAGTCCTAAAGTCCCGGACCTAAGGACTTTACCAACCCTAGCGGGGATATGGTGATTGATTTTGTCTAAATAATTCACAAAAGGAATAATAAATAAATTTTAGCTTATATTATTTATATTTTTTAATAATCATGATCTATATAAGCTTACCATATTATTAGTTTTGTATATACCAACTAATCGATCGGCCAACTCAAACATATTATTTCGTAGGCTAATAATAATAAATTGTGCATTTTTTGTACGCTCTTTTATATAGTTTGCGACAATTGACACATTTCTAAAATCCAAGGCGGCATCAATCTCATCCATCACGTACAACGGGGTGGGCTTGTAATGATGAAGCGCAAATACCAAAGCCAAAGAACTTAGTGTCTACAAAATTCAATCTATTCGTTAGGTTTTTTTTTTTCGCGTTTATTTGCAATTTGATCAAATGAGATAAGGTTACCTTTTCTCCACCAGATAGATTAGAAATATTTTTCCAACTTTTCTTTGGAGGCATTACACTAAATATGATACCCTCGGAAAATGGGTCCAGGCTGTCACAACATTCAAGCTCTGCGTTCCCACCAAGTGTAATCATCTATAGAGATGCTTTCGTAAATAAACAATTTTGAAAATTTATGTATCAACAAAATTTATATACCTGATACATTTCTTTGAGTTTCTGAGAAATTAAAGTAAACCCATGCATGAATTCTTCCAACCTTAATTTACGCAATTCGTCATACTGCCTTTTACATTCATCACGAATCGACGTTACTTCTTCAAGATCTTTTACACGTGATTTATATTCTTCCTCACATCGACGATATTCCAGTAAGACGTTGAGGTTGGGATTAGCATCCTGTATCTTCGCTATTAATTTGTTGCTATTTTAATTTAATGTTAATTTAATGATTCATGAACAGTAACACTTTACCAATTCGTACCATTGAGCGACTCTATTTCATTTTTTAAATTTTCTTTATCCATTGCTAAAAGCTCGTCATCTGTATATGTTTGAAATTCGGGCCTCGGTTCATCTCTATATATATAGTAAATATAAGTCTGAATATAATTTTCTTTTTTTTTAAAAAAGAAATTCCCTTTTAATTTCATAAATTTTATACCCAATTTCGTGAAATGTAAGTTTTCCAAGTAAACCAAGCCAATAATTTTCCTTTTGCTTATTTTCTGCCAAGGTTCGTTCACAATCTTCGAGCTTGTTTCTTATTTCTACCTATTAATAAATTTAATTACAAATTGATATTTTCGTTATAAGATACGAATAATGAATGATATAAGATCTTACTTCAACAGCTCTAATTTGATTGATTATTTCTGTTTTCTCATCAAGTTCTGTTTTAATTTCATATAATTCTTCCTTTCTATCGTCCAAGATCTAATAATGTACGAGAACAGACTGTAAAATTGATGCACAATATTTATTAAGTATTTAATAAAATCAATACCCTTTTCGCTTCATTAGCTCGATCACTGATCGAACGTGCAGCTTCGGCCTTTTGTCGTATATCAATTTCAAGCTGTTCTAACTCTTGTTTCAATTGTTCCATTTCATTTTCATTCTTAGCAATTGATGTTTCAAATTTAGACAAGTCCTTCTCGGCCTTAGATTTTGCTACTTGAGAAGAAGTTATTCTATCATTAATCATTACTATCTTTTCCTTTATTGAATCGACTTGGTATTTTTGACTCCGAAGCTTATCTCCACCAGCCTGTAAAATTTGTTCATGCAACATCTTGATCTCATCTTCAATTTTTGATGATTGACCTTTCAGGTCTTCTAACTCTGTAATCAACTTTTCGATTTCCTTCAAAATTTTCTGTATTCGTTTTCCATCTTCCACATTCGGCTTGTTTTGTTGGCTAATTAAAAAAAAAAAGATAATCATTTATTATCATTTACTATCTTGTCACAAATGTACAGTAAATCTCCTTACCGTAACTCGTTAATTCGCTTCTGAGTATCGGCTATACGCCTAATGCAAGCATTTAGGTCCATATCTAGCTTTGACAAATTAAGTTCTAATTCGGGTATTTCATTTTTTTTATGGAAAAGTTGATCTTCAGAATTTTTACGTTGATCTTTAAATTCCCTCCATTGGTTCTCTAAACGAATTCGTTCCTTTTCCAAATTTGAAACTATCTCTGGTGTTACGTCAGGAACAAATTTTGAACTCATTCCCCCGCGATTTACTTTGGTACCACCTCCGGACATTGTTCCAGATTTGTCAATAAGTTGCCCATCCAACGTTACCACACGCCATCGCTGTTTACCGTATGCAATCCTACTGGCCTGTTGTAAATTTTCTGCAACAAGAGTATTTTGTAAAGCTTTATAGAACGCTGGTGCAAATTTTTTCTCTTTTGGTTTAATAAGGTCAAAAAGGCGAGGAACCCCCTCAGGGGTTTGAATTGGACTCAAATCCATAGAGGAAAGCTGTTGTAAAAGGATGAATTGGGCTCGGCCTAGATTATTTTTTCTCAGGTATTCTATACAATTTTGACCGACTTCAACTGAATCAACTACAATATTGTCCAATGCTTGACATGCAGTAGAAACTGCAATATCATATTTGTCATCTATAACACCGAGATTACCTAATCGATCCTGAATACATAAATATTCATAAATATTAAATAAGCAAATAAATCAGGAGCGATCATAATATTCATAATATCAATAAACATCTTACATAAAGTCCTTGGATACGTCCGCTATCTTTGAGTTTGAGCAAGCTGGTAAGCACCTGACCTCTAGACTGAGTTGATTGTAATAGTGCTCTCGCTTCTTCCTCCTTTTGACGTGCATCTGCAAGACTAGAACGTAACTTATCTTGAATTTTGTTGTTGTCCTGGATGCCAATTAGTAACAGTCAATAATATGCAGGATATAGTGTTTCAAAACAACAATAATAATAATAATAATAGTAGATTTAAACCTTTGATGAAAGTTCTAATTGGTTAATCTCTTTTTTTATCAAATTTATTTTATTCTTAGTCGCTATTATTTCTTGTTCCTAGAAAAAACGTCAGTTTGAAAATTATATAAGCATTTATGTTATATACTAAATTAGCATACTTTTGAACGTCGGGTTTCTTCGAGCGAGACTACGTCTTCTTCTGCTTGATTTAAAGCAAGCTTTGTAGAATCCATCTTTTCTTTAAGAATGTTATGCTCAGATCGAGCAACATCGATAGCAGACTGCTTAGAATTTATCTTTTCTGTCCATGGTGCAAGTTCTCTTTGCTTTTCTTCTATTTGGGCTGAGAATTTCTCAGTCTTACCTTGCAGATTAATTAATAAAATTTATAAATAACCTATTTATTAGAATAGTGTTTTTGAAGAATCCGAAATGTTTCGCCGGGTAACACTAATGCGAAATATCTATGAATTTTAAAATTACAATAGATTTTGCCGAACTTATTCGCTTTAAGGAAATTATTTCTTATTGGCGAAATATTTCGGATTTTGAAAATAGTTTACGCAAAACATTACATTAGAATCTGTCATATATTTAAAAAAGTTACCCTTTAGACCTTCTCTAATTGCTTCAAGTTTTCTCTCTTCAACTTCTAAGGATTTTTCCGCTTGAGCAATTTCTTGACTTCGTGCAATTAAATCATCTTCATTGTATCGTATAGAAGTCTTGGCTTCGGAAAGAGCGTGACGATCCTATATTATGAAATTTTTTTTGGTAAAAATTATTTGGAAAAAGACTAAGAAATAATTGCGAATATGTAATATATAAATATACAATTTGTATAGCTTTGAGTAATTTTTTTTGTTTTGTCACTGCATGTTTCTTTTTTTCTTCTAAATGAATATTTTCTTTTTCATAGCCGGATAACTCTTTTAGGATTTGGTTGGTTTCCTTTTCTAAATTCTAATAAAAAAAGTATTAAATATCTAGTAAACCTCTATGCTAATGGGATTATAATACTTTAAAATAATATGATTTAAACCTGATACTCCTTAATCGAGTTCTTATATCTATTTTCTAAGTTTTGAGTATCTTGCTTGATTTGAGTATGCTTTCCTTGTTCTTCTTCAAGTTTATCCTTCAATTGATTCTATAACAGTAACCATAAACATATTAACCTGCGAATATACTGGTAATTAAATTAAACCATACTTCATTAAACATACCACTGCTCTTGCAGAAATTTCGACCTCATTCTTTAGCTCCAAGATTTGTCGTTGATAAAATGCCGACTTTTTCATAGTCAGCATATTTTCTTCTCGGAGGAAATCCTCCGCTTCTTTCTTTTTCGCCTTTTTTTTTAAAAAAAAACAATCAATATTAAAGATTAATAACAAGCATGCATAAATCAATCTACAGCCTTTTGTAAAATAAAAAAAACTTACCTCTAAGCCCTGCTTTTCTTTTTTCAACAATTTTCACACGATGCAACTTTTCTAATCGTTCTTCATTATATTTTTCTATTTTATCATTTGCTTCTTCTATAGGGGTTTTGTATTTAGATGTTCCTATTATATCTTCAAGATACTCTAAAAGTCCATCTTCATGTTCATTTGGTGCTTTGGGCTTCATCTGTGCTATTGATTCAACTTCACCCTAGTAATTCAAAGTTTATTATTAATAATGAATAAAAAAAAATGATTTATTTTACTTTATATCTTACCTGAAGGATTAGAAACCGTTTATGATCCAAATCTATGCCCCTGTCTTTCAACAAAGTTCTTACTTCGCTATAATTGCTTTGTCTCCCGCTTATGAAATATTTACTCGCATTATTACGAGATGCTTGACGCGAAATAACTAAATCTGATTGAGGAACAACTTCAAAATCATCTGATCCGGGCTAAGAAAAAAGATTCGTTAGTTTATAAATTCAATCTATTTATCGGTTGTATTTTATGCGAATAAAATCTTACCAAATCGTGAATCTCATGAAAATGCACCTCAACGGCGCAATAATCTAAAGTTTGATGCGACGAGTGAATAAGCTCAGATAGTTTGGCTTGTCGCATTTTACTCGCACGATAACCGAAAACAAACAAAAGTGCGTCTATGACGTTTGATTTTCCTGATCCATTAGGCCCAACAATGGAAGAAAATGACTAAAATATGACATTACATTGAATAAGGTAATTACATTTAAAGCTAATAACGTCTAATTACATACGTATTTAAAATATACAAACCTTATGAAAGGGCCCAATCTCCTGACGACCACAATATGATTTAAAGTTAATGAGAACCATTTTCTTGATTACTAGACGTGGAGAAGACATTTCGGTGTACAAAAGGTTCAAAATCACCTATATAACTTTGACTTCGATTAGCCGCTATAAATTCTGTAATTGCTATAGTTTTGCCTACATCGAGACGCGTTTGTGTGACAACACGTGGAATATATAAATGCTTTAATTTTATTGGCTACCAATATTTCTATAATCCAGCTGGCCTAAATTAAGAAATACTAGCCAACCAAGTCTACCAACTCTAACGTCATCAGAAAGCATTGTGTCTATATCATTTATTTCGTTCTCGTCATAAGAATAATCGGGAATACTTAACTCTTCCTCAGGTAAAAATTCATCTTTTTTATTTATTATATCTTCTGATGAAACCTTTTTAGATAATGCACTTATCTCAGTTTCGATGAATCGTTTGGTTCAGCATTACAATTTGTAACGCCGATCACTTTATCAAGAAAAATTTTTAAATATACATGCAAAAGTAAACTGATTACATATGCGAAATAGCCACTGGGGCCAGCTTTATTGTTATAAAAAATAAATGTATTCTAGAAATGTGTACTTTTTTTGGTTTTTAACCTTCTGGTTTTACTATTTTGTCTACGTCTTTTTTGTCCTACGTTAGTGTTCCTATGAACCTGAACTGAAACCGAACTTTGGTCAAGTTCAGAGTTCAATCATGTTCAATATTGAACTTTTAAGTGAGGTTCATGTTCAGTTCAGTTCAGTATTGAACTTTTAAGTCAAGTTCATGTTCAGTTCAGGTTCAGTTCAAA